ACACTAAAAATACAATAAAAATTTAGAAAACTACAAGAGAAACAACCTCAAAAGTTTTAAAATTTATAAAAAAACACCCTAAAATTTTATAATTTACAAATATACAAAACTATTAAATATTACATTAAAATCAAGAAATTACAAAAAAATTGATTAAAATTTTTAAACTTTGGAGGGGTAATTTTTAATATACTAAACTTTAAGGGTGTTTTTTTATAAATTTTACAACTTAATAGATTTTTAATTAGTTATGTTCTTTTTAAAAAAGTTATGGGTAATATTACCCATTAAAAGTTTTTCCTAAATCTATACTTTTAAAGGGAGTATGATATTTTTTACAAATTTTTAATTTTTTAGGGGTTGTTAGTAATTTTGTATATTCATTTTAGTGTCCATAGGTTAGAAATTCTCATGATGTTATTTTTGTAAATTGTGAATTTTAGGGGATTTTTATAATTTTTTAAACTTATACGTCATTTCTGTAGATTGTAAATTGTTTATAGACTATTTATAATTCATATGTTTTTAATTTACTAATGAGTTTGAAATTCTCAGGGTGTTTTTTATAAAATTTAAAATTTAAGGGTTTGTTTGTAATTTTTGAAACTTTAAGGGTGTTTTCTTAAATTATAAATTATGTAGGGGATATTTATAATTCTTATATTTTCAATGTAATGTTAAGTTGAAAATTATAAATATTTTTATAAATTTTATAATTTTGAGGGGTTTTTTTACAATTTATAAAAAGTTCAAAGTGTTTATTGCAAATTTTATAAATTTTGGGGTTTTTGTGTTATTTGTTGGTTTTTAATGTATTTATATTTTTGAAATATTCAAGGGTTTTTTTATAAATTTTGAATTTTTACGGGTGTTTTTGTAATTTTTAAAACTTACAAGATATTTTTTCCAAAGTCAAAAAACTTTTAGTTGCTAGCTAGCATATATTTTTCAGATTTTCCTACTAAATTGATATAAGTAAAATTTATAGTTTTTAAAATATTTTAATAAAAATTTGAATTTGTAGGGGTGTTTTTGTAATTAAAAAAACTTAAAGGATATTTTTTACAAAGTTCAAAAACTTTTAGGTGTTGGCTAGTACATGTTTTTTAGATTTATCTACGAACTAAAATAAGTAAATGATTTGAATTATATCAAACGTATCTCCTTTATCGAATAACATGTTAAGTCTCATTATGAATAGAATAAATCATTTACTTGCCAATTCAAACAAGATAGGATAATTAGAATAGATTAGGATAAAAATATAATATTTAAAAAAAGTTAAGGTTAATATTAACTATGAAAAGAGTTTTCCGAACTCGTACTTTTAAAGGGAGTATATGATATATATTCATTTAATATGCGATATTTTGTCTTACCTTATTCGAAATGCTTATGACATAATTATATTTGAATATATTAAAATTATAATTGTTGTTTTTATTATATTATTTATATGGAAAAAGAACTTTTATCGTTTCATATTTATATCTATTTATAATATTTATCTATATACTAAAGCTAAAGGGATTACCACTATTCCTAAGCTACAATACCCCAATAGTTTAGTATTACTATTATTTATCTGCTATTTACAATTATACTCTCTATTAAAATTTTGTAAAATTTCATTATAGCCAGACACCGACACCGTAACTTCCACAACTTTAGAAGATGGCAACAAAAAGGGCAATAGTAATTGAACCATGGTAAACCTCATAAACCACAGTAAAATCACGGTCAAAAGCAATAGTCAAAACAATGCCTTCACTCAATTAAGAATAAAAGAAATACAAACAAATGCATTGGTTGAAGCTGTTAAGACAACACAATCATATATTAATAGTTATCTATTTCAAGAAAACCCCCTTTAAATGGTAAATTGCAGGAAAAACATACGTTTTGTCTCATTGATGTCTCATTGATGCTTAAGTGAAAGAAGCAAATAGAAATTAAAAATAAATAGAGATTTATTTTTACTTGGATTCCCCCAGAGTTTATCCACTTTTCACTTTAAAACCAAATAAAATTTCAACACTTTCATACCCTAAAGTTTCAATGTCATTTCACTTTGATACCCAACGTACCTTTTTACCATTTTGATATACCAAAATTCAATCTTATTTCACTTTGATACCTCTATCTACATATTATTAGATTTTTCTATTAAATTTGTATCACGTGCTTACCAAGTGGGTAAAAGAGATCTAACATATCATATGTTAAGGACGTAATATAAATTTAGTAGGAATCTAACATAATATGGATGAAGGTATCAAAGTGTAACTTGATTGAAACTTTGGTTTATCAAAGTGTCAAATAAATTTTTTGGGTGTATCAAAGTGAAATTATATTTAAACTTTGGAGTATCAAAAATTGGAGTATCAAAGTGTTAAAAAGATACTTTAAGATATCAAAATAAAAACTTTGGTAAACTTTGGGGTGCCAAAGTGCAAACAAGTCAAAATAGAAAAAGATGTGGGTAAATTTCCGCGAAAACCCTTTAAATGGTTGTTCCTCAAAGAGCCCTCCCTAGCTCTAACCTTCAAAATGCTCAAGAACCCACCTTATGTCTTAAGTTCTCCAAAAAAAAAAAACCCTTCCGCTTTCAACATTATTCAAAAAGGCCCTCAAATAACATCGAGCATAGTTTTCACATTTGTGCAAAATTAGCATGATAATATTTTTGCCTGTAAAAATTGTGGTTCATGCTCCTTTTTCTTTAAATTTTTTTGGAAGATTGTTGAAAGTTAAAGAAGATTATATGGGAAAGGCCCAAACTTAAGAGGTTTTTGTTAATTTTTTCTAAAAGAAAATGTCATTATTTCTCTAACTACTCTCTCCCCATTGCCCAATACATACACAAGGAAATTTTACTTCCTAAGATTAAAAAGAATGGAAATTAATGGTCTGTTTGGATGGAGGGTAGAGAGGGGGAAGGGAAGGGAAATTTCATTTTAACCTTGTTTGGGAGTTTCATTTTAGGGGCTGTTTGTTTCGTTTCCCCCAGAATCCAAAACCCACTTTTCTTCACTTTTTCACTTTCCTCCACTTTCCAAAACCCACTTTTCTTCACTTTCCTCCAATAATATTATGACAACTCATCCCACTACATCACATTTCATACTTTTAAAAATAAACAAAACACAAGAAATGAGTCACATCAATCAACTCATCTCACTCACTTTCCCCCACTTTTCTTCATTTTCTATCATCTTTAAAAATTACTCACATCATCCAATAATATGGTGACAACTCATCACATCTCATTAAAATTTCCTTCCATCACTTTCCTCCAAAAAATTTTGTAAAATGATTTTCCTAAGTATGTGTCACATCATCCAATAATATAATGACAACTCATCTCATCTCATCTATTTTCCCTCACTTTTAAGAATGAACCAAACACAAGAAAAGAATCTAAACAAGGAAAGTGAAGGAAAACATCAAAAATTACTCACATCAACCAATAATATGGTGACACCTCATTTTCTCCCCCACTTTCGGTTATAGCTTTGACGAACCAAACCTCTGAAAGTGGAGGAAAACATCAAAATTCACTTTCTTTTTCCCCACTTTCCCCCACTTTCGGTCTTTTTTTGCGAAACAAACAGGCCCTTAGAGGATAGAGGAGGGGAATGGATGGGAAATTTGGCACAAATTCTTACATCCCAAATTGAGGTGTAATGGAGGTGAAGGAAAGGAAGGGGAATTTTCCCCCTTCCTTCCATTTCTTACGTAAACTCAAACACACCATAAGTCTCTTTTCTCATTCAAGAAAGTAATTTACATAATTGAGCAGTTGCATCTCTTGTATTCAGGGGAAACTAGTAATAAATTTAAGCCTGATGAGTTCTTGAAGCTAAAGCATGACCTAATAAGTTTCATTTGGCCCTAGTGGGTCAAAATAAAAAGAACATAATACAATGCGAATACATCACTATGATTATCAAAATGAATAAAAATATAAATGTAGTATGCGGTTATCTTAAGTACAACTCTTAAAAACATTTACTAACAAACTAAAAAGAAATTTCTAAACCAAATATTTAGGAATGTTTTTTTTTGGCTTTTTTCACATATAGTAAAATTCCCGAAATATTTTTATCCAAAAAATTCAAAGTAATTTTTCTAAATGAAATGTTTAGACATGGTTAGATTAGTACTTAACTATGGATGAACAATTACTAAACTATCTTGCTATAAATTCTGTCCAATTTGTTAATCATGATTAGATTAACCTTTAATTATGGATAAGTAACTATAAACCATTCTCACTAAATAAATTGAGCTAACCAAATGTCTGTTTTGTATCTTTTTCCAATTCCCTCTTCAACTTCTGAGAGAAGTGGAACTTTTCCCATTCCGTCACTCCAAACATTGATGCTAAACACTCCTCCCACCCCCCTTCCCTCCACCCAAAAAAACCAAAAAAAAAAAAAACCTCTGACATGTGTTTGTATAAAACAATGTATCCACTCTGAAAAAGTTACAATTGAAAGAATATTTTCCAAATTAAACAAGTGCTAACTGAGGTGAATTAATCTCAAACAACTAATAATAATTTTGGGATGTAAGAGCAGTTTCAATAATTTAGGGAACTAATTGAGATGCTTATATCTTCTTCTTTTTTCCCCACAAAGTAAAAGAGAAAATTCTTAATAAAATGTTTAAACCATTAACTTTTATATTCTTTCTTATTAATTTATTAGCAATACAAATTAGGAAAAATAATTTTATTCATAAGTTAAGAAATTCCAAACCAAATGATTAAACCATTATTTTTCTATTTTGTTGACGCTAGTACCGTAATAACGCGCGGGTCAATTATGCTCGTAAAATATAATAGATATTTAATTACCAAACTCTATTATATACTCTAGAAAGTTTAGAAAGTTCTAGATCTAAACAAGGATGAAAAAATTAAATTAAATTTTTTTTTGGTATGAAATGATGAAATTGTCACTCACGTGTTTTGAGAATTTGAGATGAACTCTTTTTGTTTTTTACTTTCCCTCTCTAGAATCTCTCCCTCTCTCTAGCTTTGCAATGCACACCGCCTCTCACTCTCCCCTCATCTCTCCACCTCCTCATTCCCTGACCCCCAATCGGATCCGGGCCCCAACCCATGTCCGATTCGGGCTCCGACCCGTCAGCATCCGCTCCAAGGGTCCAATTAGGGTTTCGTCTCCTTCGTCAACGTCGAGTCCGATGGAAGCGACGGAGGAGGAGGTGGATGGGTTCGTGGCGGTGGCGAACAAGGTCGCCGACGCCGCCGGCGAGGTCATCCGCAAGTACTTCCGCCAGAAATTCGATATCCTCGATAAGGACGATCTCAGTCAGTAATCTCCCTTCTTTCTTCTTTCTCTAAGGCTATGTTTGGTTTGAGAGAAAGGGAGAGAAAAGAAAAAGAAAGAGAAAGTAAAAAGAAAGGAAAAGAAAAGAAAAGAAAATGATAATCCTTTTATTGTTTGGTTAGAAAGAATATTGTTAGGAAAGTTAGAAGAAAATTAATAAGAAAGTTATTTTCTCTTGTTTGGTTACCTTTCTAAGTAAAAGAGGAATAAAATTATCACAATATAAATTAATTCATATTTTTTGGAATTAGATTTAGATTTTAAATAATTTATAAAAAATAATTAAATTAAATTGCGATTCTACGATATTTTGAAAAAAATTTACAAGTTACTGAACATGTTTGCACAATCTTAACTCAAGAAAATTAAGTCAAATTTACGATAACATATCTTGGGAAGTAACATGTTAATAAACATGTATTTAAAAAAAATGGCAATTTCCTTGCACAAAAACTTGAGTGGCCATCAACATCGAGTTTGTAAATATTAACAAGCAGAAATACAACCACAATTCCACTAATTAAAGAACAACATTTCTCACACATAATATTTACAGAAAGAATGGTCAATTAAAGAAACAAAACAAATCTAAAGTAAATGTCATGATATTCCTAATATAAAGTATAATCCATTTCTAGTCACACGGTTTATTACAATCAATTTCATATAGAAAATCTTAACTAACAAAGTCTATTACAATCAATTTCATATAGAAGATTTTAACCAGAGAGAGAGAGAGAGAGAGAGAGAGAGAGAAATATGCCGCAGTCCTTGGTTTTTGACTAGCGAGCCCATCAAAACATTGATCTCGCATCCTGCATCCTCTGAAATTAATTTAAAAAAAATCAAATAAGTAGAATATAATCTGAAGATGCTTAGAGAGACTGGCTTGTATGGCTATATGCAGGCGAATTTGGAGCTTCAAAAATAACTCCATCTATGGGCAGGTAAATATAGATTACAAGAAGGCTAGATTTGTTGTGATTGATATCTTACAACTCGTAGATATTAAAGTTAAGCCTATGAAGAGATCATCCCTTTTTGGCATTAACTCCCTGCTCTCTACTGGCATTAATCCTAGACAACCAAAACCCAAACCCTTGTTCTCCTGCTTCTGGACTCCACCTGCTCATGGCTCTTTGGCTTTGAATGCGGATGGTTCTTGCATTGGCGACCCTATGGCTGTGGGAGGCATTATTAGGAACCAAGAGGGCAACATGTTGTGTGCTTATGTTGGCAAAGGTTCTAGTTTTAAGGTTGAAATTCATGCGTTGTCCAAGGGTGTAGATGTTGCGGTGGCACAAAACTATGCCAATATTGTTGCTTGGTCTGACCCTAAATCCTAGGTGTAATCCATTAGGCTATGTTGTCCAAGGGTGTAGATACATGCACACTCACGTGCACGCATGCGTGCAAGCACACATGCACAAGTTTCTCTCCTTAAACTTATGAACTAGGTAGTAAAATGCAAACATGTAATTAGAGTGTAAATTAAATTTCCTCCTAGTAGTGATACCAAGATTGTGTGATGCCCATCCAAGCTTAATCCCCAAGATAAGTTTTTAACACAAGTTTTTTGAAAAAAGAAGTTTAGCAAAACATCTGTTGTCTATAATTCTGTAATTATCAGCACTTTCTCAAATGTGTGTATTGTAAAAGTAGGGAGATACTGAAGTATCTATTGTTGTGTTTCAACTCATTTGTTCTTCTGTTAAGCCTCCTACAACTATAATTGATGCCAAAATAAACTCATACTTTTCGAAAAAATGGTTGCTTAGTGGACCGTTAAAGCTCCATCATCTAAACTAGTTTAAGCAAAGCTAATCAATAGATACTGTTACCTACCTCAAATAATAAATAAAAAGATGGGGAAAGATAATAATGGTCTAAATTGTGTTCTTTTCTCTTTGAGCTCCTCTTTAGATTAGTGCTTTTGGTACAGATCAGGGCTGGTTCAGGGAACATGAGTGCAAGCTGTCTCCCTTTGCAAATGTATTGTAGCCATAGTTTGGCGATACTCAAATGTCACAGGAATATTATCAGGACATCACACAGGAATATAGTGAAAACACAACTAGATACAAAGTGAAAACACAAAGAGCAATACCCATTTATGTCATTAGCAGTAGTAGTGTTAGTAGAAATCAACTAGATACAAAGTATGGAGAGAATACCCATTTAAATGCGATTTAACAAAATATAGTGAAAACACAAAGAGCAAATAAAGCACATTTACTTTTTATTTGAAGAATGAAAATATTTCTAATAATCTCTCCACATATCATCAGCTATTTCATTAAGTGGGATTTGCTTTACCTGAATATAATCCCTTCTTAGCTTTATTTGTTTAATCCTCAGACTTGTCCAGTTCGCAGAATCGGAGACTATCACTACAGTTACAGTCTGATTTGGAAACTTACCTCATTAAGCATCCTGTGTAGTTCATCTCTAGCCTCACACTACAGTTACAGTCTGATTTGGAAACTTACCTCATTAAGCATCCTGTGTAGTTCATCTCTAGCCTCAACAACACGATCTCGGTCATTACTGTCAACCACAAAAATAAGGCCTTGCGTGTTCTGGAAGTAGTGTCTCCACAAGGGACGGATCTGATGCATGAACATATGTACAAATGATTAGTGCAAATCTCATTACAACTCTTATAAACAATATATAATCAGTAAATACCTTGTCTTGACCACCAACATCCCACACAGTGAAACTGATGTTCTTGTATTCCACAGTCTCCACATTAAACCCTGAACCAAATAATCGAAATACCAACTTAACCGTAAGAAAGTAATTGAAAGAGAGACAGGAACAAACATATCTACCCAATGCTAGATAGTTTGAAGGCTTTGTTTGGATACCATGGTGTTTTCCTTATTGTGTTTTTGTAAGAAAACACCATGGTGTTGTGTTTTTCTCTTAAAATGTTTTCAAAACACTATGTTAAGTATTTTTGGTTGACACTAGTTTGACCAATTATAACATTAGTATTAAACATATTATTAATATATTATATATTAATTATAATAAAATATATTATTAATAAAATGTTATAATATTTAGTTTACATTATTATAGTATTATAAGTATTAAATGTAATGCAATATAATATTGTATAATGTATTATAATATTATATTGTACTTTAATATGATATATTAAATTACAATTATTATTATATTATAATTATTACATATTATTTTTAAATAATTATATATTTAATTATTTTGGTATATCAATTTGTTATTGTTGTATATTATATTAATATTTTTATAATAATGTTATTTTATTATTAATATAATATTATACTATTATTAATATAATAATATAATATTATTAATAATCTTATTATCATGTTATTACTAGTATGTTATTAATAATTTAATATATTATAAATATTTTAATATTATATAATATAATATAGTTTTTAATATATTAGAGTTTATTAATAGTACTTTAATTAATAAATAGTATTTATGATATAAATAAATATTATTATATTATAAAAATATTATTTTTACATTAACATTTGTTAGCAATAAATTATTTTATTATAAATTATTTTACATAATAAATTATATTATTTATTGCATAATATATTAATATTTTATATATTATATTATTATATTATGAATATATTATTTTTGGCATTAACATTTGTTAGCAATAAATTATTTATTATTAAAAAATTATTTTACTTTATAATAAAATTATATTATTTATTACATAATATATTAATATTTTATATATTATATTACATTTACTATACAATATGTTATTATAATATTATTATTATATTTTTATGTTATTATTAAATATGTTATTATTATATAATATTTTATAGTTATTAATTTATTTATTAAAAAGTTAATAATATTATGTGATTTATAATATTGTATAGTATATTATTATATCATTATTATATTATTATTTATTATCAATAACTTTTTTATTATTTTTATTAGTTTATTTATATTTTATTATTATATAATACATTATTAACATATTAAATATTGGTATTTAATATGTTATTATATTATTATATAAGATATTTTATTTATTATCTTTTTATATTATTTAACAAATATTACTAATATATTAAGTTAACTATAATATAGTATAGTATAGTATAATATAATAAGCATGTTGATAATAACTCTATAATAATTATATTTAATATATTATTTTAGATATTATATTAACACATTCTCAAACTCAAACCCGAAACACCAAACTTAAAACACCTAAAAGGTGTTTTGAAATAAGTGTTTTGTTTTTGGTTTGAGGATGATTTAGCTCAAAAAACACCATGGTTTTCAAACGTGTGGTGTTTTATTTTTGGCAAAAACACCATAGAAACAAGTAAAACACAATGGTATCCAAACGGAGCCGAAAAAATTATCATACTGCTTCACTTGCTATGTCAACTATAACTAAGTCCACCAAAACAACAAAACAATTCAAGTTTTCCAGAGAAGTAACAACGAGACACAGAATAGCAACTAAGGAATCATGAAGAATGTCATTTCATCAACTAGTGGAAAATAAATAAATAAAGTAGACAGTGTACATAATACAACATACCAATAGTAGGAATGGTAGTCACAATCTCTCCCAGCTTCAACTTGTACAGAATGGTGGTTTTACCCGCAGCATCGAGACCGACCATAAGAATCCTCATCTCTTTCTTGGAAAAAGGCCGGCTGAAGAGCTTGGTGAAAGACAGCCCCATCTTCACGTGTAAATAAAATAAACCAAATTATAGTCATCCAATGTGAGGGGTTATCATAATTCAAAATGTATACTAGTGAATTATCCTATATATTGATATAGATCAACCTTCTAGTGTCCTTTTCCCCCCAGCTATTGATATAGTTTTCACCTATGGTCAAACAGAGTATATACTGAATAAATCCACTTTAGCTACAAGGTCCAATTTTTACTATATGGTAACAACATGAATGACAAGTTGTATTACATACGAATGCTTATTTGTGTGCGCGCCTACATGTGCCAAACACTATGTTTGTCAATATATACAAGAGTGCCATACATTTAGGAATTAGTTAAAACACGTATTTCAGATAGAACATCATCCATTTGTTTTCCTATTTTCAACTATAGATGCCCATGTTGGGTAATGCAACTTCAGTACTTGAGAATTATATAAATATTGCTAAATATATGATGCAGATTGTTAGTTTCTGATAATATACCCCAAAACTCAAAGTTGCCAATGTACAGGTTGAAGAATCTACAAATCATCTATATATACAAATTCTGAATATTGATACTAATTAAAGACAGAATGTCAATAGACATTAGTGAACCTCTGCAAGAAATCAAAAGTGATATATAGATGACAGATCGTAAAGAATGTGCATGCAACTATCTTTAAAATTTCAAAAAAGAAAAATGTTTAACTGTTTAAGCATTTGCCGGAGAAATTTAGCCACGCATGATATAGCGCACAAAGCAACCCGAATGAATTACAGAAAATTCAACAGACAGAGCAACATCATTTTGAGCAAGTTGAGGAAAGTTTGGTTTTTGTTAAATCGCTCTGAGCAAATTGCTCAAAATATCTCATCGGCCTCGCTAGGAATATGTTCAACTAGACATTTATGCAAAGTTCTCCAATACGGATGACAATGATATACGAGTAAACCAACCTGAAACTGCAGAAAATTCCACTTAAAACTGGCTCAGATGAAACTGCAGAATAACTGAAAAGATAGTCGCATGCACATTCTTTACGATCTGTCAATAGACATTTGAGTCAAATTGGCCAACAACATCACCATCAACCTCACAACTTTACGATCCCCAACCTTATACATCACATCCATAACAGTACTCACGGTTCCAATGGACACAAGCTCCTCCGAATCCCATGATCCTGTGAGAGATTGATCAGAGCTTCGGCCGCGGGAGCGGAGAGCTCCGCTGGATCTCGGAGGAGGCGGGAGAGAGGGGGTAGGAGGCGGTCGGAGCGGGAGGAGAGAGGGCGGAGGCCTTCATCGGAGCCGGTGAGATCGCGGACGATGTCGACGGCGGCGGGGATGAAGGAGATCCGAGAGAGGTCGAGGGAGAGAGATCCAAGAGAACGACGAGAGAGAGCTCAAGGAGATTTGAGATCGAGAGATCGAGAGAGAGAGGATGGAGTCGCGATGGAGACAGGAATTTTGAAGGAGGCATCGAACGGGATTTTCTCTCCCTCTCTCTCATTTTCACTCTGATCAAGTGAGGAAAGGGGAAAAGAACCGGGTATATGGGTTTTTTTCTACAGTGATTTTAAGATTCATTTTTTTTCTCGTTTTCTTCCAAACCAAACAAAGAAAAATTACTTTCTTTTCCTTTCTTCTATTTCCCTTCAAACCAAACAGAGCCTAAAAGATTCTTCGTTTTTTTTTTATTTTTAATCTACGTACCCAAAATCAAAACATATTTGCAAATGTACCCCCGTTTATCTTTCACATTGATGAGTTAACGTATCTGAAAACTATGTTAATGAACTTCTAAGGTTATTTCAGTTTTTTTTAATGGTAGTTATTTTAGCTGAAACTTCCCTCTAGTTTAACTCAATGCGGCGGAAGTTCGGGGTAAATTAGCAAATATCTAGAAGTGCACGGGTTAGGGAAAAGTGATAAGGTTATAGTTAATGGGGGCGAAGAGATTTAGTGATAGACCTAAAAGAGCTTTGTTGGAAGCAATTGAGAAGGATATGGTAATAATTAACTTGAAAGAGGAATGACCCAGAATTGAACAGAATGGAAGAATATGATTCATGTAGCTGACCTTCAGATTTGGGATAATGGCTTTGTTCGAAGGGGGTCTTAGAATTACTCATTTTATGAAAAAGGTGCAATAACCACTTCTTCCTGATTAAAACTTAAAAGGTCTCGCTTTTATAAATTTGCAAAGTTCATGTTTTAGTGATGATAGTTGATTATGGAATAAAGATGCCAGCTTTATCGTTTTGAATGGATTTTGATGAAATAATGTTGTTGTATCGTCATTGAATCTTTACGATTATGGTTATGCTAGCCTTGTGAAGCTGCAAATAGCCCACTCATCTTTGTCTTCTGTAGCACTTTCACCTCTCAGTTATTTTATTAGGCTTGGTCATCGGTGTATTACTATTTTCACAAGAATAAACGTGATAATCCCCTCCTCCTCATGAATTCAGGGATTATTCGCTCTAATAAAACAGTTGAGAGTGATAAGTACTGCTGAAGTCATAGATGAGGAGGTTATCTGCAATTTACCCAAAAAAGAATTTCTCCTTCCAGATCCTTTATCAAGGATTAATAACACCTGTCCTCACTACGATTCATTAATAAAATCTTTGCAGTTTGGACTGCATAAAGGGAATAAAGATTATGTTAGCTCTCCTCCTTACGAACTTTAATGCTAATTTTGTGCCATTGGATTGCATTTCTCCTTTTTCTTTGAAGTAAAATTACCTTTTTCTTCAGGTCCAGTGACGATTGCTGATCGCAATGCAGAGGAGTCTATGGTCTCTATTATATTGGAAAAATTTCCTTCTCATGCCATGTAAGATTAGTTCTTCCTTAAAATTATGTTTTTGAGACGAAAAGAAGCAGCAGCTCAATTTTCGCAAGTTAGATATTTGATGCAGTTTTGGGGAGGAAAATGGTTGGAGGTGTAAGGAGGAATCTGCTGATTATGTTTGGGTTTTGGACCCTATTGACGGAACTAAGAGTTTCATTACCGGTAATGTTTTCTTGAATTTTCTCTTTCGATATCGTGGATTCTGGAAACTTCAAAGAAACATCAAACATTGACCATTGTTCTGTTTTGACGTATAGGAAAACCTTTGTTCGGTACTCTGATCGCCCTTTTGCATAAAGGCAAACCGGTATGGCTCAACTTGCTCACCTATACATTTGACTTTGAAATATTGTGCATGGTTGAAACTGAGATCATATGGAAGCTTTTATTTGTACATTGTAAGAGTTCTCTGTGCTTCGTGTTGCTAGCCATATGCATGTGGTTACTTTAGTCCTCTGGTACATAACAGACTTCAACTCCAAGAACCATCACTCAAAATTAACTTTCGTAAGGTCAAAATTTGGGGTGGAAAGCCTATTATAAATGGTTATCATTTACCGCAAGTTGCACTCTGAGGAGTTATAATGGGTTTGGTGGTTGGTACTTGGTACAGACCAGGAGGAGGGAATGGTGTATGTACGGGTAAACTGCGTGGAATTGGTGATGAAAATGGCCCCAAGAGATAAAAGACACTCCAAGTTATATTAAATGAAAGCATTTTAGCTTTGTTACTTTTACTAATCAATTTCAGGATAATGCATCTAAACTAAGTTTACTATTTGCCTTTAGCGATCCTAGCGAAGATCTTCTGGGCCTTTCCATAAAAATAAAAATCAAAACATAAAAAAGAAATAAAAGACACCAGGAGCTGCGATTGACACAAGTATCCTCCTTAGAGATGCCACTGACAATGATAAGTGTAGATTCCTTATTAGCCACATAGAAAGCACATTATTATTATTTTTACTATAAGTCTATAACTATGCCAAGATTGGGTGCCATCACCAATTTGACCAATATGGTCTCTTTCTCAGGTAAAAGAAATGCGTTATCTCATCTTATTAAAATTTAAGAGTCATGTGACCTACAGCATGAAATGTGAACTGCACTGGTACTTTTGTTTTCTCCATATTTCCCTTTATTTTTCATGAATTAGTTCTTAACTCAGTTGTTCGTAAAATTATATGCGCTCTAAGGCCACCTGTATAAGAGCAATGAATTCTTATTTGATCATTGTCATTACCAGGTTATATTAATTTCCAAATGATTGCTACTCTTTTTGCATGTTGAAAATTGGCATGTTCTTAAAAACGTTCAGACTATTGGCATCATTGACCAACCTATTCTAAAGGAAAGATGGATTGGGATGACTGGAAGAAGAACTACATTGAATGGACGAGAAGTTTCTACACGACCCTGTAGCAAACTTTCCGAAGCCTATATGTAAGTATATTTATAACTAGAAAACCATTTGGAAGCTGAGAAATGATTGCCTCTTTTTGCTGTCTCTTTCAATGACTAATACTTTGGTAAAAAGTATGCTGTTGTACACTCAGTCCATCTCCTAATTAATTAACACTGTTTCTGCATCCCCAGCAATAACCAAATTGGCAACTGTCTCAAGATTCCCAGCAGTCCATTAACATTGACCTCTGTAAACAACTAAATACCAACTGTGCCTGCACCAAGCAAATGCATAAAATCTTATGTCACTATATAAATGACTGTTGATGGTCTGAAAATATCAGCACGAAATAGTTACATGGTTTATTTAATATACCAATAATATGAAACTGTTTTCTTCTTAGGTATACTACAAGTCCACATCTCTTCAATGGGGAGGCTGAAGAGGCTTTTATTCGCGTCAGGAATGAGGTTTGTACATACGAGTGAAGCCAGTAACTTGTCAAGTATAGAGAAACTGTATAAAAGCTATATATGTCTCTTTTGTTAAAGTTTGCCATGTATAAAAAAAAAGTCTTCTGATCCTTCATCTTGCGGCCTTTCCCTGTAAGGTGAAAGTACCACTGTATGGCTGTGACTGTTATGCCTATGCGCTTCTGGCTTCTGGTTTTGTGGATCTTGTCATTGAATCAGGACTTAAGGTGATATTTGAATCCTTGAAATTTGCCTTTTCTATCTGGAAGATGCACGTTTTATGCATTTGTTTAAAGTTTTATACTTAATCGTTTTAAGTTCTGACATTGAAAAATCTCTTGACGTACAGCCCTATGATTTTCTTTCTCTGGTACCGGTAATTGAAGGTGCTGGTGGATCAATCACAGACTGGAAAGGAAATAATCTTAAATGGGAGGCATCTTCTAATTCAAGTGCAACGAGTAAGGCGTCACTGTATAAATTCCGTTTGGTCCTTAGTTTTGAAATAGAGATAATTGCGCATAGACCCCCTATAAATAATATCACTGTTTTGCACTACAACCTCTGTAGTTTCGTTGTTGCAGATAGACACTATAGGTAAAATTTGGCACTTTTACCCCTCGTGAAATTTTGGCAAATATTGCCTCTGGGTGAAATTAGTGAGTTTATCTGAGTGTAAAGAGTAATAAAATTTTTTTAACCCGAGGGTTCTATCTGCAACAATGAAACTACAGTGGTAAAAAGTTCAAAAAAAAAAAATGATACTGTAGGGAGTCTACGTGCAATTGACCCTTTGAAATATCACTCCTCATATTCAATCTATGTTTGGATCTCTTGTTTTAGGTTTTAATGTGGCAGCAGCTGGAGATCCTGAGCTGCATAAAAAGGCATTGGAGATGCTGCAGTGGAAATAAAGTGCTGGCTACTGGTTATAACTGAGAATTAGCGCGGGATGTAATCTGCAAGATTAAGGGAGCAGGGTGAAAAAAATGTTGCAAGCAACTTTTGTGAAGATGTTGTTGTACAATGTTATTTATGATTTAGAAGAAAAAATTTGCAGGCAGAGCATTTGTTATCGACAATCAGCGAGGAAAATGTTGAGTTGAGAGGATAATTTGACGTGTAAAATTTCGAGTCTATAATATTTGGAATTTAGATTTAATGATCATTTAGTCGAATAATTTCTTACCGAGTTATATCCGTCATCTGTGGGCTTCGTCTGTAAACATGTATTTTATCCAGTACTTGGTTTAAGAGTGTTTTCCCCCTCCCCTTCTTCAGATTTATATTACGATGATGTTAAAACAAAATAAAGGATAAATTTTCAATTTCAACCTATTTACAAACTTAATTGTAAAAATATACCTTTTTTATACTTATTTTTTAAATTCGATCCAATTTTAACCACCTGGTTGAAACTGAGTCGAATTTGAAAAATAAATACAAAAAGGATCGATTTGTGCAATAAATGTTCTAAATATGTCGAAATTGAAAATTTGTCCCAAATTAAATTGGATAAAAGGAAACTTTAGCAGAAAATAGTTGGAGATTTGGTGGCAATGGCTTTTGTTTTCAAGAAATCAAGAAACATACGTCAACATGGTCTTATACAGAAATAACTTAAAAATAATAATATTGCATAATCTAACTTGGAAATAAATTAGACGAATGAAAAATCAAAGATTTCTTATGTGCTTAGATGACATCATCTAATAAGGCGAACTATTTATCTTCCACCAATTTAAAGAGATATACTACTTGATATTGTAGGAATTACAGCGCAACTAGTAAAAAAAATGTTACATTAAGTGCAAAACATTTAATAAACAAATTGTGTAAATTCAAACTTTTTAATAACATAAAACATAAAAAAGATAAGGGTTTATATGAGAAAAAAAATTCTTTCTAAGCTTTAAGAAGACAGCTTCCTTCAGATGCTCCCTCGCCCGCACCAGGTAAAATTTCTCCCTTTTTTTCCTTTAATTTTTTAATATTTAATTTCTTAACTTTTTAGATAGCTATATTCTGCGCTCGCTTTAGGTTGATTCAATCTAGTTAATTGATCAATTCATTTATTCCCTTCGATTTCGTTGATTCTCTAGCCATTAGCTCGAGATTTTGAAAATTAAAATGTTTAGGGTTTTCGTTCAATAAATCAACCCCAACTTCGGTATCCATTTATTTCGCTGGTTCTGTCGAATCTTTGAAGTTCGACTGCTTTTACGAAAATTAAAAAGACAAGTTTTTTTTAAGAAAATCAATTTTTTGAAGAATAAGGTTTAGTTATTTTAATACAATATGATGATGGTTTAGGAAAATATATGCCATAGTGTTTCAATTAGGTACTACTAGTATTTCGGCATATGCAATTGTATCTATTCTAAAATGCAAGGGTTGAGGATATTAAATCGTTTATATAAAATGTTATGTGACAGTAAAAAATGCGTTCTCATCCATTCTTATTCATGTTTTAGATTTTTCTTGGCAATAGAAAAGTCGACACGCAAAGAAAGGAAGCAAACCAACTTTAGAGGATGAACCATGAGCCATTTAGTATTTCATAATTAAGATTGTATATTGACGAGTATAATTTAGGGCATGGCCAAGCATGTACTAAGATTTTAAGCTAGGTGCACATTTTAAGCGGTGGTGGATGTGGACTTTCTACTGAAAGGCTAGTATTGCTTCCGAAAAATGAAGCAGGCTGAGACTTTTGGTACATAAGGTGCTAGGATCTATGCATGATGATGGTAGAATTGAACTTTAAAGTACGTCAATGCTGAGTTTATAAGCTAGTCAGCTATGCTAAGCTGAAAGCCTTAGAACATGGACATTCTAATGAGTGCTTCTGGACCACAGTGATAAATTCCTTTGCTTTCATGCAAGAGGTCTGGGCTTGGTGTTCGCACCATGGCTATAACCTCTTTTCACAAAGGGGGGACAAAAGCTGAGAATAAATTCCAATTTATGTGTTTGGTGAGCAACTCATCTCATGGTGCACTGCCCAATGGTTTTATTTTTGGCAGAAATGTTGCATGGTGGAGGCTCTCAGACAACTCATCTACTGGACTGCTCAATTTTGTGTTTGCTTGTAGGTAAGTGTCCTGAATAGGACATTCTCATCTCCTTTGTAATCTAAGTTTTAGAGATGTATCCAGTTAGTTAGATCTTCAAATCCTTTATTAATTTTTTTTTTAAAATTTTAAGAACTGATATACTAACCAAGTAGACTGAAAATTTGAAATATTGAAGTCAGTCTTTTTTCATTTTTAAATTTTTAGAATGAGTTTTACTACCCATATAATATGCTAAGATAGCATGCTGTCATCCTTATGTTATCTCTTATGCAGTACATAAGCCACTATGCTTATAACTGAGAAAATAGTCATGTCTCTTTGTTGCTGCACAACAATAGCCAAACCTTTCTGGAGACTGCAGTATATAGCAACTCATGGATATTGAAATAAGTGGATTAAAAGTGCGCAGATAGAATGCCATGATGAGCAAAATTCATGAATAGGCATGACTAGGGCCTGAACTGTGTCACTTGTCCAGGACGACAACAAAACTACTAATCCTGAAGCACTGATATATAAAACAAAATATTTATTGATTTTTTTACACCAGATCAGTGATTGCACTGCTCAGTTATATCTTAGTGAACTAATGACTTATTTACTCCGTTTACAGGGATTATTTTTCGCTTGCCGCTTGCTGCCACAGTCACGGTCCCCAGTTCAAATTGCTATGCTCTTGACAACAGCAGTCACCTTTATGATTTTGTATCCTATATAATTCATTTGTGATTCACATTCACATATGCACACACTCAAATCTCCATAATATCGATTGGAAGTGTTTCATTCTAAGCTGCTAATCAGACAGACTGGATTGGTCATCCCTTTGAATACGAGGGCAAGGTAAGAGCTAAATACTAACCATGATTTTTCCATGGAAACCTTTTTGTGCATTTCCTTCATTAATTTGCAATTTGCATGTTGGAATAACCTTTCTTGTAATATAAATCTTGATATGCGGCACTTAATCAATTCAACAGTTGAATTATTCCTTTTTTGTGCATCTCCTTCACAGGATGTCCTCATTATGGTGCTTAATTTACTGTTGAATCACAATATCACATGTCCTTTGAGATAAATTGGATACTGTATCAAATGATATACTGTACCAAATGATATCTTTACATTTTTCTGGTCACATGATGTCCTTATTCATGAGTCATTTTTTAAGTTAATAACTCTTCCCCTTCTCAACAACTGCTAAAATAGATTCTAGCTAGTTTTTGGAAAATTGAGATATACTGTATCAAATTATATCTTTGAAGTTCCTTTCTACATGTTGAGACTTGTTATTAAGTGTTATTGTCCTATTTGACATGACTTCAGCAATTTTACTATAATCTACAGGTGACATAGTGCAATGAACTGATAAATAGATACTATAATCTACACGCTGAGCTGTATATTGTAAGTGTGAAAAAGTTTTTGTTATAGGCATCCTGGTTGGAAGAGTTGCTTGAGTGCTGTCCAAAGATATAATATGAGCTGCACTTTTGACTCTTCCAAGATTATTGAAGAAAATAGGATATAGTTAGCGTATATCAGGTGGTAATTAATCATGAAGAGTTTAAGTTTCAATATTGGAATGACTTACTAGATTTGGTCGATGTTTTTAAATCTCTACATAGGTGTTGATGATACATTGGACCGCACTACATGTTATTTCTTCTGATTATAAATATTTATTGTTCTTTAAGTTGGAATTATTTTTATTATGTATAGAAATATCCTCTCCAACTTTACATGTTTGTTTTTTCTGCCAGAAACTCATAGTGGTACATTGTTATGAAACAGGATGCTGATTTCGTTGTGAGGTTCTGTAAAGATGTTGAGAGCAGGTCTCAGGCGGTATATCATATAAACTCATAAGTATTGTACTGGAACTATATTTCTTCAGTTATTTGTGTATGGATAATTGTCAGTGGGCATTAGGGTAATTTCAGTGCAGCTCATCCATACATGCATGTCTCATTTATTTGTGTATGGATAATTGTCAGACTCTGAGACCACTGAGGCATTTACAGTCTAACAACAGAATTATAAACAGCTGTGCCAGTGCCACAAATGGAGTGGAACAAAATAGCATCTCTTTTTAAGCATGATTTATATACAATGACAATCCTAAGCCATTATCTCTTGTTTTAGCGTTTTAGCATGATTCCTTAGAAAAATAAAAGTTATTAATTTGCTTTGCTCCTTGGTCTTTAAGGATGACAAACCAAATCATTAATCTAATAGTATATTTTCTTTAGTATTTGACACATGTAGATCCATGCTGAGATATTACAACCTAAGTTTTGTTACAATTAGTTATGCTATACACATGCATCTTTTATCGTGTCTTCCTATATGCCTTTTTTGGAAGAAAATTTCACTGGGAGGAAAAAGGAATGAATTTAGCTAAACCTTACTGCTCAAAGGCAGCCTATCATCACCTTATTAGCTGTTTTAACATGCTGCTCTCTTGTTTCACTTTAATTATTGACTCACCTACCTAACACAATGACAGTTTGATCCAATAAGTTTCATCATTATGTTCTCCAGAAGGAGAGAAAATCAACATACAAATGATACATTAAGCGCAGTTCTGTTATTGTATAAAATGGATTTGTTCCTACATTTTGTTTGTAGCTAGCAGATATTAACAAGTTACTATTAAAGTTCATTATGTTCTTAATAACAGTATAACAGGCTATATGTCTACCAGCGAGTCCACTTTTAATGATGCAATTGAATATGATTCTCATGATGCCAACCTCTGATATTGTAAACTGATGTTCATCCTGTAAAACCTTCTTTCTAAATAGTATATAATTCATACATGCTTTCAATTTTGCAGGGTTATGTCGATTTTGGCCGTTATGCAACTTCACATTACTTCGTAGCGGGTTCTGGATCTTTGGACTTTGTCCAAGTAAGAACTCTCTCAAGACTAGTCTTATAGTATATTATTCATTAAAAAAAAGGATAGCCTTGTTGAATAACCATACAAGCATTTATTACGTTAGGACTAATTTTTACCTATTTTTCCTTGTTCTACATGTATATAATTATTGTATTTCAATCTTTAGCAGTATAAGAAATTTGCTTTTTTTTGTGAATGTTACATGTTTTTTTTCTGTAATTAATCATAAACCATACAATTTGGTTGAAATGATGGCAGGGGTTCACAATTTGACTGGTTTGATTAATATGAACTTGGTGTAGCTTCGTGTTAGTTTCGGAATTTTCTAAGAATAGACCACCTTATACAACTCATAATTTCGATGCTGTACTGTTTTGACATTATCATTTCTGTTTAATCTGTATGATATTTAAAACCTGCAGAACTTTTATAATGGGGATCTCCAGAATTGTGAGTATAGCTTTGACAAAATGGGACGTACAGCTCAGGTTGGCCTGCATATAACTTGATTCTTTTATATGTAATTGTAGACTTCCTAAAATTTTAATATGTACTCGTCTTTTATTTAACTTTTCATCTTTGCCATTTCAGTTAAACATCTTATGTGGAGGCTGCTTAAATGGAGCATGTAAAGGTATCCTGTCTATCCTTCAGTTGCCATTTTATCTTTGCATGACATTTAACTGCGACAATCTTTCTTTGGCATAGATCCTTGTGGTCACCCTTGCTTGATTTGTATGTGCTTGCATTCTACAATAGTAATATGCAGTTTCAGTTCTTTCTGAGATTCATTCCAGAATTATGTATGAGAAAAAAGTTACAGTGAGCAAGGATTGAGTACCTTTCCCTAGTCAATAATATTTATTTAGGTTAAAAACTATTTTAATTTTATCGATTTCAGTTGATGCAACATGTATCTTTAACTTCTAAGGCTTCATACTTGAAATGCATTTGCACTCATCAGCCTACCTCCCTACTTGTATAATCACAACTTCCATTATCTAGTTGTATCCCTTCTCTGTAAAATGTCACTCCTACCAGTGGTATATTTCCTAAGCTGATTACATGAATAAAAATATATTCTTAGTAGACCGTTCAAATAGAAGGATTTTGTGTAACAACCTCTAAACGCCCAATAAAGTCAATCAAGTTCTTTTGACTTCTCTCTTCAAAGGAATCTATGATAACAGAGTTATCTTCACTGAAATAGTTCTCTATTTCATAGTCAGGCTTTTTTTATTAAGCTGGTTACATGGCATCGAGCCACTTCATGCATGTGTCTGTTGTGCATGAAATTCATTGAACGGATATATGATAATCCTTTTGTTTTACATGTTTTGCAGGTGATCTTGGCTGTATATGCAATATATCATATGATAAATCAGCTTGCAGGTGTCTTGGCACAGCTTCCATTTTATCTTGTGCAAATTAATATTATCACTTGTTTTTTCATTCATGCTGCGCTGTGTTGTGTTTCAAGTCATGGACACAAGTGTCAGTGAGCCGACACAAAGATGAGGTGTCAGACACAACAATTGACCAAAATCTAGATGGGAGACAGGGTTCTTGATAAAATCAGAGATGCAAAAAGAGTTGAAAAAACAAAAAAAAATTATTGTTCTGTTAAATTACTTTAGGACAACAGGTTAAATGTTAAGGAAAATCTAGTCATTTATCTGTAAGTTAAAACAATAAGAAGTGGATTTCTTTGATTATTTTAGTCATGCATTTTTCTTCTATACATTAAATTTTTAGTTTTCTACATTTTAAATTCCTTTATACTTTGGTTGTGTAATACTCGCCTACTTTTTGTTATGTGCTATTCTTTTCTTGAAAATCCAGGGCTGTTGTCGAACTTGCGATTCCATGTGTGAAACGTGGTCCGCGAGTATTTGAGGGGTTTACTGTTGGATTTCATCCTCGATCCTG